AGAGAGATAAAAATCTTTTAGTTAGTACAGAGATTTAGCATCAACTTCAATTTGAAATATGAGTCTGTCAAATCCTGTTGTATGCAACATGAGAGCCGAGAACGAAAAACTTCAACAGCAAATCAAAGAGCTGAAAAATGAGAATAAAACTCTCAAACAACAAAACTCTACCATACGTGACCTTAAAGTCGAGAACGCCGACCTTAAGGAGCAAAAAAGAGAGCTCATAAATGAGAACAAGATTCTCCAAAAAAACATTGAAGTTCTCTTCAAACGAAGTGGGTTCTCTAAAAACAAGAGGAAAAGAGACCTGCAACTAGAGAATGAAACAATTCACTTCAAAATTCAAGAGCTGGAATATTGGAACCAAATTCTAAAGGATTTAAACAGCTCCAAAACCAAAGAGATCCAGCAACAGAAAGAGGTGATGCAGGAAATGGAGGCAGAAATCAGAGAGTTGCAAAGCAGCAAGACAGGCTTGGTTATAAAAGTGGGAGACATGGAAAAGGACAACCAGTCTTTAAGAGAGGAAAATGATGTGACGGTAAAACGCATGTGTGAGCTGAAAAGGGACTTTGAAAAGGAAAAAGATGACATGCAACAGGAAATACAGGCTGTTAAAACTGAGCTCCATCAGGCAAACACAGCCTTTAAAGAGTTACAAGAGAGTGAAGAAAGAAAAAGGATCATGAATGAGGAAAACAAAACAACGGACAGTGAACAGCTCAGACAGACCCTGGAACTCCAATGCTTTGCACATGAAATTGACATATTGAGGCATAACGAACTTCTTGAACAGGACCTCCAGGAGCTTTCCAAAAGGAGTGGTGATTCTCAAAAAGAACTGAAACCACACGATGAGGGTGTGAAAGGAGAATCACGGATCTCCAAAGCCACTGAGAAAGACTCTGAACATGATTTTAACGTGACCAACAGAGAAAAGGAGTTGTTGTGCCATGAATTTGAGGAAAGAAAAGAGAGCTTGAAGAGGTCAAGAAAAATCTGTATGATTACAGGAAGCCTTGAAAACAGAAGACATGGCGTTGCAAACCCAAGCTCAGACTCCCAAAGTTTCACAGGAAGAACATAACAATCTGATAAACAACTACGATGTCCAAGTTGACATACTCAAACAACAAAATAAGGCCTTAGAAAATAAGGTTAGTGACCTTACCAAAAAGATGTGGAATGGACGGGAAGCGATGAGACAAATGGAAAAGAACTTTCAAGAACAAAGGAAGCTACTCGAAAATCTCCGAGGAGAATTCGAGGAAATTTAGCACAACTACGACTTTGGCCCTCCCTATTAAACCTGGTTAACACAGGTTCAATAGGGCTATAACTTAGACAATGGAAGTTCATTTGATTTAATTGGCCCAAAATGAGTGACTGCACCCAGACACTCAGTAGCAAAAGAATTACAGAGATTCAAGAGAGAAAACTGTTTCTGCATAGACTCCTATAGTACTGCAAGTCGTGTCATCGCTTGGTGTCCTGCATAGAGTGCAGGTTTAAGGTATCTACGTATCTTTCAGAATTAGAAGCTATGCTGCGTCAGGGGTTATAACAGCTGTGCCCCCCCCCCAACCGGTCGAGGCAGATGGCCGCCCCTCACTGAGCCTGGTTCTGCCGAAAGTTTCTTCCTGTTAAAAGGGAGTTTTTCTTTCCCACCGTCACCAATGGCCTTGATGACTGATAACCTTCACAGACACTGTCATCAAGGGTTTGCTCACAGGGGATCATCTGATTGTTGGGGGGTTTTCTCTCTTATATTGTATGGTCTTTACCTTACAATATAAACAGCCAAGAAGCGGCTATTTTTGCGATCCGGTGCTTTAGAAATACATCTTAGCTGAACTGAACTCCATAACATCTGGACCGAAATGCCTACACACAACGGTAGGCATTTCAATCAAGTTGTCCAAAACGTTCAGTGACAAGCATCAGCACCAGGATTGTTTTTTAGCTCACCAACAGTTCATGTTCCATACCCAGTTTTTATTGTGACTGCAACTTTGTAAGACTGGGTTGGGAGATGTTCTTGTGGTGAGCTTTTATTCACATAATTGGTTTCTTTAATAGTGAAATAAAATATATTTGTATAACTGGAAACAGCGTTCTCATGTGTGATTATCACATTGTATTCTTTAAACCATGTAACAGAATATATAATATATATAATTTACTCATAGTAATATTAATATCTAATGTGATTGAGTTTCCTCATCTCTACTTATGTGCTGATGTGTTCACTGAGGCCATTGTATGGTCCATTTTGGCTGCATTTCCATGTTTTAAACATGAAATTTGCTTATTTAAAGGGTGTCTCATGTATCTCTTATGCAGAAATATGTGTTGCCTAGCTGGACAAATGTAGCACAGGTCTACTATTATTGGCCTAATGTATTTTACCAATCATTTCAGCATCCAGATAATCTCTTTCATACTCCCTTAGATGAATTTAGCCTGGTTGTCATGAAATAGGCATTTGAAACAATAACTACCAGTATCTTCGAATGTGTGTGATTTCACTAATCCTACACATTCTTTGCAAGACAACTGGGTGCTTTTATGTAAAGAATGATCTGAGAACACTGAGGCTAATGAAGTAACAAGAGAAACATAGTAAGTAGTCTTTCAGTTTGCATGATCAATTTTGATTATTGTTCATTTTCATTTACCATGTCAACATGTTTTAGAGCAACGTTTTCTGATTTTGAGCTCTTTTAGGTGTAAGTCATCGTCAGTGATTACCCTAAGCCCAAAGCAACACCAAACATGGGCAACCAAAATGCATCATTTTGTTAGCATGTAATTGTTCTCCCAATTCTTAGAAATCAGGAAACAACAAAAATAACAATTTTAACTTACAGACATGAAACACTCCCCCACCCTGGAAAAAAGTCAATTTTGCCTTTTACAAAAATATAAGGTTAGTGTAATGTTAGATTTTGCATTAATACCTATGACTAAGACCTCAAAGGTAATTCCTCGACTGCTTCAGTAACAGCCTGGTTGATTTTAACAAGTTAAGTAAATTTGCGGTCAATTTAGACTCAATTCAAAATCTCCTACTTGGGACGAACACTAAATGTAAATAGCTGACTTTCTAAATAAACCTATCCATCTTTGCAAGGTCAATTTTTGCTTTCACTAAATTCCAAATGTTTAGCCATAATTAGCTTAGCTGTCCTACTCTTGTTACTGCTCTTTCCTACTGCTGTTACAATCAAATGAACATCTCTGCAAAGATAAATTAGCTGAGACCTTAAGTTGATGGTAGTTACTAGCAAACACACAAACTTACATACACTATATAGTACAGTTCTATGATACATCACCAAATAGAACAATTTGTGGCAATGCAGACAAGCAGAGAAACAGTTTAATTAGTTGAATTTGTTCACTTGATCGGAGGTGTGTTTCCTGCAGATATACAACATCGGATCTCAATGATTTTAAATGAGTAAAAACCCTTGTGCGTTTAACCGGATTATTTATACCTTTAACATTCCAGCTTATAAAACAAAGAGGCAGATGACTTTGCCACTCCATACTATTCAGTCACTCTCACATTCACACACTGGTGGAGGCAGCTACAGTTGTAGCCACAGCTGCCCTGGGGCAGACTGACAGAAGCGAGGCTGCCATATCGCGCCATCGGCCCCTCTGGCCAACACCAGTAGGGTAAAGTGTCTTGCCCAAGGACACAACGACCAGGACAGAGAGCCCAGGGATCGAACCGGCGACCTTCCGGTTACAGATGCATTCCCAACCCCCTGAGCCACGGTCGCCCGTAATAAATAAATAATAAATAAAGGGAGAGTGGAGGATTATGGAGAAGCAGAGAGAGGACTGTGTTGTGAGACGGCGTTTGTGCTGTAAAGCTGGGCGTGTTGCCTGCTTGTCTATTTAACAGTGATGAAAATGATATTAAATAAATCTCTTAGTGTGTAAATGCAAAAATGGAGTTTTCAAAAATATCCACCCTGGCCCTAGTTTTCAGTGACCAAAAACGCCGTTTACGTGTGGACAAAAGGTGCAAACGCATAGAAAAATCTGCGTTTTCAAAAATACCCGGGTACGTGTGGACGTAGCCTTAGTCTAAGCGTGTATTGAACGCAACAAGAAATTGGCCCCACTCAGCACCACCCAAGAAAGAACACAAACAGTCGAATCTTTTAAAACCCTTCCTAAGCCCTGGGACCATTTTTGTACATTTTAGTTTTTCAGTTATAAGCCATTTGCACTGTGTTGAATGGAATATAGCCAAATTCTCTAAAAAAAAGTTTGGCATAATTTCATTTCAAAATTCAAGTCTGACTTCCTTAAATTAGCTTCAGTGGCTAAGCTAACGATACACATCCTCTTAGAGCCCTAGGGACCATTTTTGGTCCCCATTGACTTCCATTATAAACGCTATTTTTCACTGCAGAATTATTACCGTTAATGTCTTGGTGATTACTTATGTGTCCGTTTCGTTTTGGTCTATGAGCCTTAGAGTTGTAATTTTTTTATTTGTCCACCGGGTGGCGCCCTTGCTCCACATTTGACCCGGCTGGAAAACAGCGGGCTGCTTAAACAGACCTGCGGGAAACGAAGCCTCATTTCCGGCGTGCAGCAGCGGCTTCGCCCGCTGATCGGGCGGGACCATTTTCGGCCCCTAGGACCGTTGAGGGTGACTATTTTGCACAGGATACTTTGTTGTCACGTGGTATCGGACGTGTGTGCTGGAAAAAGGAGTCCCCGGTGATCGTGCCCCGGTCAATCGTCGCGACTTACCCCGGGAAGTGCACTTATTTCGGCCTAGAGGAGGAGCATTTGCCGCCTGGAGACCATTTTCTGGTCCTGAAAAAAAAAAAAAAGGCGATCGAAATGAATGTTGGTGCCAATCTTTAGTCCATCTAAAGGCCTAATTATAATAACAATTGAATATTACCTCAAATGTTTTTTTTGGAAAATATTCAAGTTTTATGTTTTTTGGGGCAAAAAAAGCAGTGCGCTCATGTGACGAAACCGGGATATAAAGGGTTAAAATCCGCGAAATGTAATTAAAACTTGACATGAATATTTCAAGGAGAAGTAGGTCTAAAAGATTGGCTAATTTAAAGTGGAATAAAATATTAATATATAAATTTTTTATAGCACTTTTTTGGGCGTGGTCGATTAGGACCGATAGTGTGTGCATTTTATGAAATGCGCTCCTGCAAAAAAAATAAAAGTGGATCGAAATGACTGTTTAATCTTTGGTCCATCTAAAGGCCTAATTGTAATAACAAACAAATATTACTTCAAATGGTTTTTTTGGAAAATATTTAGTTTTTTGTTTTTTGGGGCTAAAAAAACAGGGCGCTCATGTAATAAAACTGGGATTTAAAGGGTTAAAACAAAAATATAATTAAAACTTTATATGAATATTTCAGGGAGAAGTAGTTTTAAAAGACTGACCAATTTAAAGTGGAAAAAAATATGAATATATAATCTTTTTATTGCACTTTAGGGGCGGGACCATTTTTGGTCCCCAGGGCCTTAAAAGGATGCATTTTTAAGGGCCAGCCAAGGAGTGCTAAGCAGCCATTTATTTGCTTCAGCAGTGAGCAGTGCCAAAAATAACAAACATAACTCCCTGATAGCCCCTACACTTTCCTACACAAATGAAAACCAACCAAAAGACAATTCACTTACCTAACTTTCTAACAAAAAACAGGAGAAAACGTAATTCTTCTCACGCCTACTAGGCTGCTGCAGTGAACAATATATACAAGGTGAACAAAATACACAATTGCTATTTTACAAATCTATTTACAAAACTAAGATACTAACACCAGTCACACACACGGCTATACTTGCAAATCAATAGGCAAACGCTGCCGATCTCCGACCTGTATTCCCATGTGATGTTTTTGTTGTGTGTGTGGGGGGGGGGTTCTATTCCACTGCAGGGCAACCTGCATGTGGCCAATAAAGCCTTCATTCATTCATTCATTCATTCAAAGACACTATGAAACAACGACTCAGAAACACATGCTATTTGTTGGATGATGGCGGCGAGTAGAGAGAGGGGGCCAAGCGGCTGTCATCTGGTAGTTAAATACTGGAGGTGATTAGCCAATTATCCAATCCAAGGACAGGAAGAGACTCCACCCAACTACTCAGCAGGCACGCCGAGGTGTCCACCTCCTAAAAGAGAAAGGGGGAAAAACCCACAGCCATCCTCTGGTGGGAGGAATCACACATAAAACAAACACTGACAACATTGGATCATCTTGATCATCTTCGTTCGGCGAGATATATTGTAGACATTGACTTTGAGTGCAGAGGATGCAAACACGCTTACACACACATGGATTATGAGTAGAATAAGTCTCTGGGTCAGAGAGTCCTGAACATGATATTCTAAACCAAATTTGCATCACTAGAAGAACAATGGATAACAACATTAGATTATCAAGGCTAGGCAGAGAGGTGTTTTGGTTTTCTGTCTCTTACAGAGGAAGGAACAGACACCAGATGAGGTCACGGAGATACGAGGATCCTTCGCAGCAGACACAGACACAGAGACGGCCGAGACAGCAACTGGGGTGAAGTGTCATGGCGTTTGGGCTCCGGCTAGTCACCTCGAGAGGATGGATCCCATAAACACAGCAATAAACACGAAGGGGTTGGTGAAAAACCAGGAACAGCAGACCAACGAGGCTCGAGAGGCTCTTGGTAAAAAGGGGGACACGGCGGTGACCCCTGAATACACAGATCACTGTTTGAAATCAGGGCAGAAAAATCCCCTGATCTGTGCAACGACCGAAGGGTGGTCTAACCCCGGAGGTTGAAGAAAGAAGAGCAGAGAATCACCCCACTGGAAGACACTGGTAGCTGCAGCAATAAAGTGAAGGTTAAAAGCTCCTTGGACAGAGGTTCTAGTCTGAGTACGTTTGAAAGGTACAAGGTGGCACCAAAATGGGGGTGGGAAACTGGAGCACCAAAATAAAGCTGTGGGAGAACTGGGGAGTGATGGGAGTGTCATCTGTACCTACTGTTGCTGTTGTAATCATAGTTTTTCTTGCATCTGAACTGCGCAAACACAGAGGTCATCACACAAATGCTCCACCCGTTAAAGGGGGACAGAGGGCCTCAGGGCAACGCTGGATTATGAGGTGTAAGTGATCTCTTTAAAAAGAGATCAAAGGGGGAATTGTGAGATTATATATTATCTTATGCCACGTTACACCCCTAATTAAAGATTGTGAAATTGTTATGTAGTTTAGTTTGCATTATTCTCCTGCAGAGGTGATAACTATGACACTTATTAAACTGATTTGTATTACATCAGACTGCTGATTCATTGTGAATGAATGATGTTGTTTATGATGCATTATACAGCTGAGCTATAAGAAATCAGAGAGTCAGGACCTTATTTGTCTGATTAGAAGAGAACAGAGACCGGAGAGGTTTTCTGCCCCATGACTAGGCGGAGGGGGGCTGAAGCTAGAAGTATGTGAGAAACGCTCAGACACGTCGAGATCAGGCGGACACCCTCCCGCGCTCATCTCCCCTCCGGATGGTTTATGCTCAGAAGTGTTGGAATAAAATGATTGTTGACTGAGCATTTGCACCGAGTGTTGTCCTTCCTTCAGCCCAAATATCAAAGGAATTGGGAGGATTTAACACAATGCATTCTGGGCAGTTTGTTCAAAGTCTGACCATTCTGCACTCCAGATGGGTCGATTGCGTTAAAAATTTTTAATTGCGTTAATTGTGATTACGGCGCTAACGTGTTAACATTTACAGACCCACAACAAACACAAAAACAGAGCACATCATGATAGAGACTTATAATTTGCACCGATGTATTTTCTATTTCTTGCTGTGTTGATTTGTCTGCTATTCTCAATGTATGACAACTTATAATGGCTGATTGTTTGTCATTTGCATAGGGGAGGGGCCAAAGAATATGAAAAATACTAAATCAGAGAATATAAATGAGCAGGTCCAGTGATGATGGTAAATCTGCTCTCCTGCAAAGATGTCCAGTTTGTTCAGCTTCCATCTGTTACATTCACATAATCATTTTCCTCATCAGTGCTTTCAAATTCATCCTCTATGTTGACATAATTGTGATCGTCAGATTCCTCGTCTGACACGCCTGCTTGCTCTGCACATTTCCTTTTTATCTTCACCGGCTCAACATTCACGTAATCCCTCTCTTCCTCCTCCTCCTCCTCGTCATCATCCTCCTCATATCTGTTTGTGGCAGCCACTGAAACACAAGCAGCAGAACTGAGTCAGTAAATATGAACAGAAAAACACAGAAAATGGTTTTCGTCATGAAACAAATATTTGATTCCTTGTTGAATTCATAATGAGCAGTATGTGTCAAGTTTCATTATGAAAGACAAACAGCTGCAAATTCATGTGCATTTTACTGATTAACGGTTACCAAGCCAGCATTAACTACACCCGAAGCCCCAGCCTGACTTCAGCCTCACCACTGTGGGAAGCACAAAAGCCTGTGTGAGGATGTCGGGGACAGACTGCTGACCTCTGCTGTAGCTGGAGTGGGCTGCAGGAACATCAGCGAGCAGCTCGAAGGCAAGATGAGACCTGTGTGTGAGATTATTCTCAAACGGATGGAACAGTGAGGGGTAACTCCAGAACTACACTGGAAGATCTCATGAAGGATCTCCAAGCAGCTGGGACGTTACCCTGCAGCACACACAGGTACTCCTGAAGAGCTCACATCCATGTGAAGTTTGCCAATGAACACATGAACGATTCTGATGAGACCAATCTGAGCTGTTTGAATGGAAAAGAACGAATTACTGCATCGCACTGAGGGAAAGAGGAAATCTTAGGCAGGGAAAAGCCTCATGGACGAGTTTTGACCCAAAACATACGACTGAGGCTATCAAGAAGTGAGTCATGATGAAACACATTAGAGCCATGGAGCAGCCTGGTCAGTCTCTGACTTTAATCCAATAGAAAACCTCCAGAGAGCTCAAGTTTTTCTAGAAACCTTAAGGATCCTCTGCACGGAGGAGAAGTTTAAAATCAGCTGAGACGTCCACAAACCTGGTGACCAGCTACAGGAAACATCTCACAGCTGAGCTTGTCAACAACAGTTAGTCCAAGAGGATCAAACACTTCTTTCCTTACGGGGCGATCGTGGCTCAAAAGTTGGGAGTTCGCCTTGTAATCGGAAGGTTGCCGGTTCGAGCCCCGCCTCTGACAGTCTCGGTCGTTGTGTCCTTGGGCAAGACACTTCACCCGTTGCCTACTGGTGGTGGTCAGAGGGCCCGGTGGCGCCAGTGCCCGGCAGCCTCGCCTCTGTTAGTGCGCCCCAGGGTGGGTGTGGCTACAATGTAGCTGCCATCACCTGTGTGTGAATGGGTGGATGACTGGATATGTAAAGCGCTTTGGGGTCCTTAGGGACTAGTAAAGCACTATACAAATGACCATTTCCCACTAAAATGCACATTTATTTGTAACTGGGACAGAATGTCTTCCACTGTTAAAATAAACCTGCTATAAAATGATCAATTATGAAATTATACACTGATCATTTATTTCTAAAAGGTTAAAATGGTGAATTCAACAGAGTGTCAGATACTTATTTCCACTGTATACTGTTTGTTCTCATGAGCACAGACTTTGGATCGGGACGTGGGGATCAAACCGCCTGGCTCGTCGTCTTCTCCAGAGGACCAGACAGACCACCAGCAGGAGCACCAGGATCCCAGGAACTGCTGACGCCACCAGCAGCCACCAAGGAACTACGAGAGAAAACGATTACAACATGTTTCTGGGAAATCTGCAACATGAAAAGTGATGCTGTATGAGCAGTTATGTCTGTGTAGGTTGTCATTCATCCAGGTAATGGTGGTCAATCATGTGACTCATCACATGAGCCAAGGTGAGAAAAAAGGCGTCTGGGGAGCATCTGAAAACTGGATTATAGGTGCCAGGTGTCCAAGCCCCGCCCTCTGTTCAAGGATCACAGTGGACTCCTCTTTCAAACCGCCTGTCTTCTCTGTCCAAAATATCCTCAAAGAGTGACCTTTGACCTTTAGATGCAGACGTACAGCTGAGTCTTGTCCTGTCGAGGTGGCTCTTCTATGTTGTGTGTTTATGAAGTGTTTGGTGTCTCCAGCGTAGAGGTCTGAGCGCTCCTCACTGCAGCTACGTTGTTGAGTTTGTGTTTGTGATGAAGCAGTTTGTGTCTGAGTGTGTGGCTGAGTCTAAACTGGGACGTCGTGCTTGGAGGAGACTCTCCTGAGTTCCTCTGATAAACCTGCCACATAACGGAGGATGACGTCCTGTTTCTCTAAGGACTTAGAAGTGAAGACGCCTCATGGATGAGAGGTGAAAAGTCTTTCACTTTCTTTCCAAGCTCTAGAAAATTTGAAGGTGCTTCGTGTCAGGTTGTTGAAAACTTCATATGTTCACATGTTGAATGGTTTAAAACGTCTTTCCATCAATTTTCAGATCTAAACAGGGTCGTAGAAGAGGAGCAGTCCTCACAGTGGACAGCAGAGTAACCCTGTAGTCACAAGTATCTATACATACATCTTTGTATTTATATGTAGAGCTGTTGAAACAACATGTATGTTCAATCTGGATTTGAGTCCTGTGCTCTACTCACATGTGATGATGAGATGAATTGGTGCCGACTCAGGAGAAGTGAATGTCCTTGATGGCAGCAGTAACTCATACACACAGCTGTAGTTGCCCTGGTGTTCATACTCAGCTGCAGGGAAACTAAAGCTGGCTGAGTGGTTGACTGCAGGCTCTGTGAGGTTCACGCCAGAGAAGAAGAGCCTGAAACGTCCTGGAGTATATCTGGAGTTAATGGAGCAGCTGAAGACGAAGCTGGAGCCCTTGGTGATCTCTGCACCTTCAGGACCCCAGACCAGTCCTCCATTAGGAGACGTCAGGGAGATGCTGGGCTGCTGCAGAGGATCTGGGTACAAAAGAAACAACACAGAAGACTGAACATCAGTGTTTGAACACTTTTATTCATTCTGATCTTCATCAAACTCGTCCTGTTCAGGTTCCGACTCTCAGCAACATTTAAGCCATGATCACAGACTGTTTTGTTGTTGTGATCAATAAAAAGTGCCGCCTCTCAGAAAGCCAGACACACCACACAGCTCATATTCTGAGTTCATATCAGTGATACATTCAGTCAGCCTCAACTGTAGCACTCTGGAAATGCACACACTGTCCTTACTAATGCAAAGCACCGTCTGTAGCAACATCTGTAGCAACATCGGTAACTACATCGGTAACAACATCTGTAACAACATTTATGCTACATTTCATTTCATCATTAAAGTAAAGAACACTTCTATAACTACAAGTACAAACACTCACTGTAAAGTTTAACCTCATGGATTCATGTTGTGACTGATGTTTCTACTCACATGTGATGATGAGATGAATTGGTGCTGACTCAGGAGAAGTGAATGTCCTTGATGGCAGCAGTAACTCATACACACAGCTGTAGTCGCCCCGGTGTTCATACTCAGCTGCAGGGAAACTAAAGCTGGCTGAGTGGTTGACTGCAGGCTCTATGTACATTTGATTTGATCCATAGAAGAAGAGCCTGAAACGGTCTGGAGTATAGCTGGAGTTAATGGAGCAGGTAAACTCAAAGCTGGAGCCTCCTGTGATCTCTGCACTTCCGTGTCCCTGCACGTGTCCTCCATCATATCTCAGGTGGATTCTGGGCCGCTGCAGTGACTCTGTAGTAAAACAGAACAAAATGAAGACCTGAAACCGTCTGCACCAGTTTGCCAGTGTGGACGTTAAACATTTCACTTTTATTCACGTCTTCCTCTGACTTTCTCACTGCATTACAGAATTTTAAACCATCACCTTCACCATCATCATCAAAAACTAACCCCTCCCTCTCAGCACAGCTTATGATCAGCTGATATGTTCCAGGTTTTACATGCATTATATACATTTCAGTTATTCATCCATCTTCAGACGCTGATCCAGATCACAGAGACTCAGCAGGAGGGTCTCCTCTCAGGTAGAGTTTCCTGAAACAGCTCACAGGAAGCTTCCTCGTTTGATGCCTAAATATTCTTTCTGTGTTCTCAGTCCCAGCCATCATCACAGACTGTTCTCCATCAGTTACTGTAATAATCTCAACATTAACAGTAAGGTGAACTGCGGACACTCCAACACTGATTACAGATGCTTCATAACAGCAACATTTCATGGTACGCTGACCTGCTCAGTTCCACTGCTGCTCAGCATGCAGTGACTAAACTACACTGAGTGGATGATGAATCTGATAAAAAGTACAGACACAAACATGCATTCACAGTATCTGACACACCATCACAACCAAACATCTCTCACCTGAACAGATGACACCAGCGTCCTCATGATGTCCACAGCCTGGTGCCCCAAACTCTCCATGATCACACTCACTGAGAGAACTTTCATATCCTGAACAGCCCAAATAAACAACCCAGATCGGCCCGGTTCCTTCACCAAAGTGAGCATCTGTAGTTGCACTCAGTGCTGTTCCACAGTCTAACTGTCTGCAGACCACCTCAGCATCAGTTAAGTCCCAGTCATCATCACAGATTGTTCCCCAGGAGTCACGGTGATAGATTTCAACTCTTCCAGAGCAGGGAATCGACCCAGACCCAGCTAATCTGATCTGAGGCCCTAACAGAAGAGAGAAGAGAGTTCACATTTCATGGTGCTCTTTTCCACTGCTGCTCAGCATGCAGTTGTGAGGGCACATACATATAACTTGTGGAAAACTGCCATGTAGGGCCTTTAGAGACCTGTCTGAATAAGCTGAGAAGTGTCGTGGTGAGGTGAGCTCTTGTGTGCATGCACACATTGGCCGGAAGGTGTGTTTTTGGGAGAGAGCGAAGGGTGCGGTAGCTGTGTCGCGCGTGTCGTTACGGCCCAAGGAGCTAGTGATGTGTCGGTCGCGAACGAAATGGCTCTTAGAGCCGAATCTTTGACGTGAACGACGCGAGCCGGCTCCTTATCGCGAGCCGTGGGTTTTTTTGATTTTTTTTTTTTCCTCTCACCCTCTCTCTGGCTGTATCCCTATTCATGGTCTGCAGCCTTAAAGGCCACATTTTAAGGCCGATTACGTCATAGCGACGCGACGAAGGCTGTCCCAATTTGAAGGCTGCTCGAAATGCGGCCCTCAAATGCGTCCTTCATTTCCCTGAATTTTAAGGACGTGGCGGTGTAGACTTCGTGGCCCAACATATCCCAGAATGCATAGCGCGGCGGTGGGTGTGGATAATTTTGCCGAAAAAAATGGCGGATGAGGGGCACCCGAAGAGTAAACTTTAAGTACTGAATATGATGTCACTTATTGATGTGCAAATGTTTAACAACGAAGAACATTAAAACATTCCTGTTGGCCACATGTCGGCAAAGTCATGTGACATTAGTGACGTTTGTACTAACTTGG